AATAACATGCAAGTTGCCAATAGTTAGACACAGTTTATGTCTTCATATTGCGATGCATAGATTTATTTTATATGTTTGTGGTTATGGTTGTACATTAATTTAACACGGTAGAAAAATAAAATAAAAAACAGAGCAGTGTATTACAAATTCCTATTGTTAATTATTCCAAAGTTAATTCTGTGTTATGTGATCTTTTTCCAAATGCTTGTACCCCAGTGTTGAAACCTGGAGTCCTTATGAGGCATTGAAAAAAAGCACTGTCTGAAAATGTGATAAACAGTCAAATGCATTGCATCATTTCTTATTGTACACTGGATACCACATGCTAACACAACGCAATTACCTTAGTTTAGTTTAGTTTATTTTATTTTTTTCGAGCGTGTAAAACTAAAGAAAATACAAATGAAACAAAAGGTGATACAGACATGATACAGTACTATACAAATGAATGCAATAACAAAACGAAACATTTAATTAATAATTGAATAATCTGTAGTATCATTGTCTGATATTAATAAACAACAAAGCTTTCGCTAATTACACGTCCGAAAAGGGGTCGGAAGAAGTTTACACTTATTTAATCCGACCCCTTCTCCCTTTTTTTTTTACATCTTAATATATGTTAACATACAATATAAATGTATACTTATAATCTTGAATAATTTATATAATCATTCATATAATATATACAGGCAAATTAGGAGAATGGTCTCTATATATTTATATATATACATATGTACATACAAACACAAATTCATAAATAGAATACAAAACAAGAATATAAACAGTTATGGTTTAGCAATTTCATCCCTGTACCTTGTGAGAATTGTGTCTTTATACCTTTTTTTGAATAGTTTTATGTTTGGACATCCCTTTAGCTCAGGGGTGCCCAACCAGTCGATCGCGATGACCGGTCGATCGCGGGGAGATTCCCAGTCGATCGCGAGATGTGTCTAAAAATAGAACAACAATATTCTGTTTTATCGTTAATATCCTATAACATAATCTTCCTGTGCCAGAATAATGCACTTGAACGCATCAAAGCTTTGTGATTGGCCGGCGTGACCCCATGTGTCGGGGCGTGGCTGGTGGGCAGTGGGCACTAGTTCGCTGACGTTGTCCGTGTCAACAGGAGTGACAGTCCGCACACACACAAGACCGCAATTATGGCAGAAGCAAAAAAGCCCAAAATATATAATTTTCACTCCGATTGGGAGGATGATTATTTTTGTATCTATTCCAATTCAAAGTCCATCTATCTATGTTTGATTCTATTAATTTTGTCTTTTTTATTGCACTTCGGCAGCAGATTCCTGTGTAGCTTCAGATCTGCGTTGTCTTATTAGTAAGCCTAATTTATACTTTTGTAGTGCACTATTTTTATATAATGGCAAAGAAAGGGTTCAGAGTCTATTCTTTTTTTCCTGTGTCATATGTGGCAGCACTGTTCAATGTTTCTTGAAAACATTACCCACTGTAGTTTGTGACGTGTGAATAAACTCCAACTCTGTATCAACAACACTGTTGTGTAACTTCAGTTAAATACTTGTATGTGTGTAGATTAGAAATAGGTAAAATAAAGGATCTGCAGTATTTTATGAAGTAGTAATCGTACAAAGGTCAGTTTTATACAAGTAGAAGTGTGTATTTACCTGGTAGTAGGCTGTCAGTAATGGCTACACCTCTCTATTTGGACTGGTAGATCTCGGCAGACTGGCAACTTTAAAAGTAGCTCTCGGTTCAAAAAAGGTTGGGCACCCCTGCTTTAGCTCCTCACTCAAATTCATTTTAGAATATTTCTTGCAGTATCTCAACTAACTTTATCCTGTGTGTCACTGTTACCAATCATTCAGACATTATACATTATAACAACAGCAAGAACAAAAGATGATTAAATCATAGTAAATGAATCATTTAACACAAACATGTACATTGCTCCCACACTAACACTTACTTTGTTGCTATGAGAGATGAATTGTGTAATAGAGCCTGTGCTGTGGTAGTGTTGCTCTACTATAAGTTGTAGATTTGAATTTATCTTAAAAAATAAATGTCTCCAAAAACTCAATAGTATAGATGTGTGTAAGGTGTTCAATATCAGAGTCTGAAATGTGAAACTGGCCTCATGATACAGTAGGATCACATGAAAGAATGGAGCTCTACCACCACTTACTGGTAGAGTTACAGCAAGACAGGAAGAAGACAGGAAGAAGAAGAAGCTGTAAACAGTGGCAGTTTAAAATAAATGACTATGGTTTCCTGCACCCAGCTGTGGGCCAAATTGGCCACATTCCTGAATTAGATCACTAAATATATCTGAAAATAAGCATGGAGTGAATAGAGGAGATACACATATAACTCTTGAGTCTGTGCTAAATTAACCAATGTGAGTCACAAAGCAGACAGTGACTGGTTTCATTTATTCAGGGCATCTTGTCACCATTGATAACTGTCGGGATAAAAACTATGCTCACGGCAAAGGAAATGGAAATAATTATTGACTAAAACCTCAAAGATCAGAGGCTGAAAACTCCCCACACTTTAATCCATGACTAAACGCACGCTCTCACGATCAATGGCGATGACTGATGACCCTCTTCCCCCCGACCACCATCTTTGAACATCTCCACCTGGCAGCCACTAAAGGTCACTAGGAGGCAGGAGTCTTGGGAGAAAGCTGTGCAGCTTATACTGTAAATACTAAAAGGTCAGCCTAATTCTTATGCTATATGGAAATGTACTATATGTTGTTTCAGTAACACTTTATATGACCCCATGTAAGAAAAGGATACGACATACATTAAAACATACCTAGAGCACTGTATGATTATAGCATGCTTACACATTCACAAGCATTAAAAGAATAATTAATAAATCAACAAAAACATATTTTTTAATTCCTTATCACTGTAATAATGTACTCATGTGGGATTATAATTTACTCTAAGTGGTCATTGTTTTCTTTAACTTAAAATATATTTTAATTTACTTTAAAAATAGCTGAAAGTAACATATTTTCTAATTATAAGTAATAAAGACATCAGCAATTATGACGTTTTTTGATACTTATAGGTCATTATAATCCTTCGTATGTGTTATATGATTGCTATCATTTTTATAAATAAAGTGTAAAGTGAAAAAGCATTATATTTTTGAGTGCTTATTAATATAATTATAAAGTGCAATAAGAATATTATATGAATGCATTCTAAGAGTTCATAATGCATTAAAGACATTGGTGTTGTAAAAAGTGTTAATGAAATGATTTAAACTAATATTGTGCTGGTTTTAAGAGCCTCAAATAAAAGAGTTCTGCAGTGGGGCAAAGAAACAAAGGAATACATATATGTCAATATATAATACAAATAATACAGCAAATCAATCAAGTCATAGATGAAGTGAAATACATTAAAATAAAAGGTTGTAGCATACATTAAACAATAAAGACCAAAAGGAAACTCACATTGTCAGAGACACATGAGGGGAGCAGGACTGGAGACACTTTGCTGTCAGTCTGTCTGCTCTGTCAGTCTCTATCTGATCCTCTGACCTGATCACACCTGCTGTCACTGTCCAACCAGGAGCCTTGTGCAACAGGCAGGTCATGTTTATCAGTCCTCCAGGGGGCCGTGTTTGAAGCAGCACAGGGGAATTCACAACAGTTACAATTCAGTCAGACAACTCACGTGTTTCTTTAACATGTTTATTAGAAGCAGCATATAGTTGAGTTTGGCGTCTAGGCTCGGGCCTCATCACTCCACAGATATACATAGCACGATGAGTGATGATTAAATAACTAACCCCCCGAGCCTACAGGTGGAAGCTGGGGTGGAAGCTGGGGTGGTGGTGGTGCAGGCAAGCAGCAGCGACGTGGAAGTAGCTGCAGCAATAGCAGCAGCAAGCAATGCATGGAGAGATATCTGGCAGGTTAAATAGAGCGGCATATTAAGGAGACTCTGTTTGGTTGGTTGTAGAGTGGCAAGGGGCGTTATGTATGAATGCAGCGTAAGTGCTCGAGTTGACTGCCTGAACTAGCTCGCAGGGTTCGCCCCATTTATTTATTTGTCGACGTTTGTCCTTTATTTGCACTGACGTTATGTGCCGTTCTGTCAGAAGTTGCAGATATAGGGAGATGTATTGCACCAAACTTGAACTTGATTGCCTTAACGACTAACCCTGTACCTGCTACACACAACAATCTGGAAAATAAAATATAACATCACAAACCTAACATGCATGACAGAGCAGAGGAAGAATGCTTTTATTTCTGCAACCATGACATCGTGCACATGACTTGCACCACTACTAGCAGCCTATCTAAACAAAATGAATAGTTGGCATGAACACAGTGATCGATATTAGTGGTATGTGTCATGGGATGTTATGCCTTTAAAAGCATTTATGACTAAAAAGCTTCATTGGGAGCTATAAACAGTCCATGGCTACAAAACAGCCTCACAGGAACAGGAAATGCAAAGCGTAAGATTGTAAGATTGGATGATAAGCTTCTGTCTGCAAGCTTTAGGACACGTTATAACCCTTGAGAGATCACAGATTGGCCTAAAAATAGCACCTCATTCATCTTTATTATACACTGTAGACGCATTGTGGCTGATCATACATAGCCTACATTAAACTTTAGATTCAAGTTCAAGGTAAACATCACTATACCAAATATTGGAACAGAGGTTGTCAAAGTGCAATTAAGATCAATAATATATTTGTATATACATATATTAGACTAATATACAATATGCAGTCTCCCACACACACACACACACACACACACACACACACACACACACACACACACACGCACGCACGCACGCACGCACGCACGCACGCACACACACACACACACACACACACACACACACACACACACACACACACACACACACACACACACACACACACACACACACACACACACACACACACACACACACACACACACACACAAGTGTTGCATTACAATCACCAATTCACATAGCCTTGAATTATTTGTTATTATTGTATTAAATCTTTATTTAATCGGGCAGTGTAATTGAGATGAGTCTCTCGTTTTCCAGAGAAAAACCAGTTTGCCATCAAATACAATTTTTTTAACAGCGTTTCAAAATAAAACGTTTATTTGCTGAAGGAACAACAAACTTAAACCTGGCTTTTTTGAGTTATCTATGAGTATTTTTCAGCAGAAACACGAGGCACTGTATATTTGATTTGGCTGTTCTCTTCCCTTATGCATGCTCCCCGTGAAATTGAAAAGACAGTTGCTCTCACATTTTGGCAGGGAAAGAAAACTTCCATCAAGGCTGAACCAAAAACATTTAGCAAAACCAAAAAATAAATTAAGCAAATACCTCAAATATAAAAGTATCCTCATTCAACGATTCGTAAGAGAAAAAGCCTGCCAGTCTTTACAGATGGGCAATCATATTTTTAAGGTGGGTCATGTCTCTAGTACATGGATTTCTCCTAACACAAGACACGTGTGTGATTAATACAAGACATTTAGTTCCATGTTTGCATCACTGGCCACAGATCACTATCAAACCCAGAATGTTTTCATTAGTTTTTAGCAACATAGTTACAACCCAACTTTAACCTCTCTAGATGAACATTGTTTCAGAACACTTAAAAATGAAAAACATCTGAGAATGCATAACAAACATACAAATGATGGCATTAAAAAGCAGCCTACATGTCCTGAGAATAACAATACGTGCCGTGTTCAACTGAGACTTCTAGTGACTCTGCTTAAAGCCTAGAAATAAAATGGCTGAAAAAACAAAATTGGGTTTAAAGGTTAGGCTTTAATTTACTCAAACATCTGTATGAAGCTTTCATTGCTTCATCAACTGAACCTTTTAGGATTCTCAAGGGATACAATTAAAAACAATGAGTCATTTGCATTATTTACTAAATAACTAATAGTTAAACAGATGATACGGTGACTCTGCGTGTCCCCACTATCAGAACCTATTACCTCGTTCCTTTTCCAGATCCTCAAATTTCACAAGAAAAGGGTTCCGTGGTGTTTTCAGTTTCCTTGGTGTGGTAGCCCCCGCTGTGGAGGGTCCTAGGACTGGTCACATTTGGAGAAAAGTGACACCTCACTTGGGGTATTTGACAAACTGACACTCAGCGAAACAAGAGTGTCAAACTCAGCTTGTCAAATACACTAAGTGGGGGGCCTGATCCGGGGAAGACTGGCTCTGTGGAGTAAACAACCTGCAGCAAACAAACATTAAAGAAGTCAAAAAGCATGTTTATATTTTACACAAAGCTCTAATGTCTTTTAGAGAGAAGATTCAGATGTGTTACCTGAGTGTTTGAAGCAGAAGAGTCCGTGTGCTTCTTCCTCCCTCAGGAGTTCATACTGTTGACACTGTGCACAAACACCTCGTTTGACCATTGAGCGCTGCAAAGAGGAAGTCAAAACAAGGAAGATAACTGCGAAGCTAGAGCTCAGGAAATATGTTGAAATGAAGTGTCAACATGTCATGATTGTGAAATGCCGTTTGTGGCTCACAGTTTTGGAGATAATGGTTTGCTGAGACACATTCGTCTTTTGTGGCATTTGATGTGTTTTCACTATTTGTGTACAGAATGTGCTGAAGGAACTGTATAGAGTCACATGAGAATGAACCTTTCAGATCAGATGGTGTAGAGTTTTAATGGCATTTTACAGTTCATTTAATTTAAATATATTCCAATGTTCAGTATTTCATTTTACATTCTCTTGCACTATTTTTATTTCTATTTCTTCTTGCACAACTTACTTCTTGTTGTGTGTGTGTGTCTTAAGCCAATGACTTTCATTGCCAAAACTACACTGTAGCTATGACAATAAAGCCCTTGAAATCTTCATCTTAAGATTTGTGTTAAAACTACAGTATGAGCTCAAATTAACTGGTCTATTCTTGGTATTGCACCTCCATTAACGGCAATGTTAGCCATACTTTTTCAAATTTTAGGCCATGTTTCCTCCTGCGCTATCAGCCGTCTCTGGCCATCATCGGCTACTTCCTGCTTCAAAGAAAAGCATCAGCGTCTGGCCTGCTGATTGATGGTCCATCTGTCAGTTTGCCCCCCTGTGCAGCAAAGCTACACGCATCAGGGCGATGAAAACTAGTTCCACATGTTCAAACTCATTTTTTTTTATTGGACACAACATCATTTCCTAATAGCCTACGTATTAAGCCCAACCAGGACTCAGTCCATGCAATTATTTTATGATGTCTGGACTCTTGTTTTTCCAAGTAAAACTCTATCAAAGTCACTTTTTCTTGCCTCACCGTTGTACTTTTTGCAACAGCCAGAATGTGCTGCACACTGTAACTTCCCCTCTCTGGACTTCCCCTTGCAGACACCACCCTGCTGTAGGTTAGGTTCTCTAACACAGAGGGACTCGATATACTGTATACTGAACATTCTGTATACTGGATATACTGTATGCTAACTGTTTGTACAGTTTACACAGCACTGTTACTTGTATCCTTGTATTTGAAAGCTGTGTCTGTTTCATTTGGATTTGATTGCCTCTATAGTGGTTGTTTTTGAAGGTTTCAAAGTTGAAATGTTCTGTAAAAATAAACTTGCCTTGCCTTCAGTATTTTACAGAACAGTAAAGTACAGTACAGTATATTATAGAATAGTATAGTATAGTAAAGTATTGTTGTGTATTGTATATTTGAGTTCACAACCTATAGTATATTATATTCTAGTGTAGTATAGTATAGTATAGTATTATATAAAAACGTATAGTATATTATTTATAGTTTACTATAGAATAGTATAGTATAATACAGTACAGTGCAGAATAGTATAGTATATAATACAAGGGTATAGAATAGTATAGTGTATAATACAGTATAGTATAGTATAGTATAGTACAGTACAGTACAGTGTAGAATTGTATAGCATAGTATAGTATAGTTGGCACCTTGGGATTGCTGTTAGCAATGAAAGGTGCTTTATAAATTGAATTTATTATTATTATTATTATTATTATAGTAAAGTAAAGTATGTTATAGTATTGTTGTGTATTGTATATTCTAGTTTACAGTATAGTTAATTATATAGTAAAGTGTAGAATAGCATAGTATAGTATAGTATGTGTCACGATCTGTCTGTGTTTTATTTTGTCCTGTCTAGATCTGTCTTTGTTTTCCTGTTTTAGTTTGAAAAGTGTTCACCCCTCGTCTTGTCTGTTGCTTCCTGTCTCTGTGTTCCCTCCTGCCTGATTACCCGATTGTGTTGACCTTGTGTGTCTTGTTTGTTTGATTAGTCCTGTGTGCATTTAGGTTCTACTTTTTCTGTTAGTTTTTGTGAGATTCTTGACGTTGTTGAATGGATTTTGGTTCGTACGAGTTTGTGTTTTGCCTTGCTTTACTTTGTATACAGTATAATATACAATAGTTACTGTAGTAGCACACTAATAATTCCCAACCTTTCTCTAAAATTGAGTAAGCTTACTACTACCCTTTAGTAAGTGACATATTTTATAAAAAAACTATACTAGAACTATACGATTGACCTGAATAGTGAATGTAGTTCTGCAGGTTGTTGTGTAAAGCGATCTCTCAGGATGAACTCCTGTGGATGTTGCATCATGTTGAGCTGTGTGTTGCAGCACAGCATCGTGTGTTGCAGCTTTTCACTGTGCACTGATCCTAAATCTTCAAAATGTTTTTAAAAAATGTTTTCACCGAAATAAATAAAATCCTGAGATATGGGCTTACTGTGTGCATTTTTCTTTAAAGTTGTCCAATACCTTTTATCAAAAAAAAGAAGGCCCCACAACCCATGTGTAGCATTAGCAACCCTAAATTGGGGTGTTGGCTCCTGGCTCCAAGGTTGGGAACCAGTGGAGCGGCACTATTGTGCTATTTTAAAATAGGATAATCAGTCTTGCATGTGGGTGATCAGATATTTTGTGAAATAACTTTCGGTTATTATGTGGCACACCTTTGTCTTGATATTTTAAAGTTCACATACTGTGCAACAAGTTAAAGTTGCACAGATAGTCTTATGGTCATATTTATTAAGTTAAATATTGAGGCCTGAGCCTTTCAAACTGAATTTAGGGAGATTACCTTTTAAAAATACTATTACCCGCTTAGACTGCGCACAGTTTGCATTTTTCATGCCATTTTGTGAGCAACAAGTGAGGGGTGTTGCAATATACTGGTATTGATGATAACCACCATTTAAAATAAGACAAAATACAAGATAGCAATCTTAGATTCTAATGGACATAATAATTATGTAGTAAATCTGATATAGTGATATGTGACATGTTTGAGAATTCATTAGACAAAACCCGTGAGGTTTAGAACACTATTTGGCATTTTAAGAATAATATAAATGAAAGGTCTTGAAGGTCGAGGGATAAATTCAGAGTGCTGACAAACTGAAGAAGAAGAGAGGACAGATATTTACAGAAGTCCTGAGTCATTCTGTGTTCAGACAGTGAGACTCATGGCAGCTTATCTCTGAGTGGCAGTTCAAAGTGTGAACCATTTCAACACCCTTCTCCGGCCATAATACCACACATATAGGGGAAGTGGGAGATGAGAAAACACCACCACCCTGTTGTTGAGAAAGAGATGGTCCGATTGTTTAACAAGAATTAACTGAATTTGCTACAGCCAAGTTACCTTGCACTATCTAATGACCAAAAATACTTGCATTCAAACATTTGTAATTTAGTTACCACAAGTAGAAATGCAGTATGAAGTGTACTGCAAAACTAAAGTGATATACTGTGACAAACTGAGAGCTGCATGCAGGGGCGGACTGGGGGGAAAAAGTGGCCCGGGGATTAATTGACAGACAGGCCCTTAATGCGTGGCATGTATCGGCCGGCCGGTGAGGAACGTATGTTACTTAACAAAAAAACCTATGCATTTTATGTTATTTTGGACCATTATTCATATAGTAATCACATTACCTGAGCCCTTGAGTTGCCGAGCAAAATAGTTACAGCATATATTTAGTGATTTTAATGTTAACAGATCATTGATGCAATAACATTTGGACCCAATTTGCCTGACTTGACACATGGAATAAAACATGGGCGTAGGAAGCATCCTCAATGTGGGTGAGACCATTTAACAGGGGGTGTGGGCAGGTGGTGGACCTCACCTCCTCTAGGGGGGTCCGGGGGCATGCTCCCCCAGGAAGATCTTTTTTTAAATGTTGAAGTTAAATGCATCAATCTGGTGCACTTTGAGAGCAAAATTAGGGACTAAATCTATGGATACATCTCTCAACACCCATATGAAACAGAACTGTAAACAGATTTACTTTTTCTTTCAACATTTATTTGAACAGCAAGTGGAGGCAAAAGTGACTGCACCCAAAACAATAAACCTGCTAGCTAACTAGCCTAAACTCAGTAACAGAATGTGGGTAACACGTTCTTCTCCACAGCTGCCAACCCTGTCTCCTACAAATTACGTTCCCACAGAACTAAACTGCATTCTCAATTACATTTAGCTAGAAACGTATTTTCTCCCACGTTACGTTTGTTATGAACGTATCTTAAATACGGTTATTTTCTACATATCTTTGCCATTTATTGTCTTGCTTATAATAATGATAATAGTCATTTATAAATATCATTTTAGAGCACACATTTGAAATCGACGATCGGGCTCGATATATGGTTAAATTAAAATCAGTAGGCGAGGGTGTAATTTCAACACAGTCTCAAAGGCAATGTGAGCGTCCATTCCCATTGGATAACGGAGGATTTTACACCCGGAAGTAAGTATTCTCTTTACTGTCGATTGATTTGACAGTGATATCTGCACTACTCATCAACTCAAAAACACCAAATTATCCTTGTTAATTACACAACATTGATTGGTTTAAATTGTGTACAATACTTTTGTATTTTTCCCCTTCGATTCGGAGAAACAAATATTTTTTATACAAAAAATCACAGGCTCCTCCAACAGTGCAACACAATAAAACAGATACACAGAAAAAATAGTGCAAGTAAATACAAAAAGAAAAATAGTAAAATAGTAAAAAGTGAAATAGTGCAATACGAGTCTATATACAAGTGATTGGAATATGATATATTAGACAAATAATTTCTAAGTATCAGCCAGATGAATGTTATGGATGTTGTTTCAAAGTTCAGGTGTTTAATAGTCTTCTGGCCTGTGGGATGAAGCTGTCCCTGAGTCTGGTGGTTTTAGTCCGGATGCTGCGGTACCGCCTGCCAGACGGCAGCAGACAGAACAGTTTGTGGCTGGGGTGATGGGGGTCTTTTATAATCCTGAGGGCTTTCTTTAAGGTTAACCTGGTATTTTTACTACATTTATTTTAGTTACTTTGCAGATTCTGATTAATGATGTGAAATATAAACAACCCTTAAA